TACCTCCCTAATTCCCAGCCCCCGCTTGCCAGGCTGGGAGAGCTACGGAGGAAGTGAACGGTCTGACTGCGCCGTGCGGGGGTGGGGAGAGGAGCTCGGCCAGATGAGCCGCGTGGGGAGGGTTCTGTCCCTGCGGATCAGCGCTGCAGGGGGGTAGCTGGGTGCACGGTAGGTGGGGAGGGGACCCGGGAGAGGGTATAACATTCCCCTTCTGCTCACGCTTCCCACCGTGGCACGTCGCTCTCGTGAGCAAGCTAAGCTGGTGAGTGGGGGAGGGGTGGCGGGGCGTAGTCCTGGTGCACGGCACAAGAGGGCCCCTCGTGACCACAAAGCCCGGGCGGGCCCGAAGGGAGAGGTTTGCTGGCCACCTGCAGGGGCTAGACGCCTGGCTGTTTGGAGCAGAAGAGCACTAGTCTTGCTCCCAGCCGGCTGCGTGGAGCGTCTCCAGAAAGAGGGAGACCAGCCTCCGCCCCTGTGCCGGGGCTCCCCACTCACTTGAGGAGCGCAGGAGGGTCAGAACCATGCAGGGGAAGTCGCACAGTCGTGGCTGGCTGGGGTCTGAGTTAGGACCTGGATTTCCCTCTCTGCATTCGCTGCTCCTCTCTGTGCTGGGGGTAGAAACGGGGCTGTTTCCTTGACTCCCCGGAGGGCAGGCCCAGCACCCTGACGCTCCGCTCCGGCGACTCTCCGCCCAGTGGGGAGCGTGTCGGTACCTGCAGCCAGGGGGTGGGCTCGTGGGCCCGTCTGAGCTGAGCCCTCGCTGTGCCGTGCCACAAGGCCGGGGGCTTCCCACATCGCCCTGCTGCCGTCACTGCCGTGTCTGTCCCGCAACCTTCACCGCTCGGCTCACAAACAATGAGCTAATTGCAGCCCAGCTGGTTCTGGTTCGTGCCCGTCCCATTGCATCATCTGCCTTTCTAGCCCGGGGCAGGGACCCAGGGAGGGTGACTAAACTGCTCCTAATTGCCCTGCTCTGCAGACAAGAACCGCTCGGGTTCGGATACCCTCTGGGCAGGTAGCCACCTCCTCATGCTCCACCAGGGCCCCTCTGCTGCACCTAGCAAGCCGGCGGAGCCCTGCCTGGCCAGCCGC